GTTCTTCACGCGACCTTTGGTGACCTCCTCGACCCAGCGGTTGATGTCCTCCGCGTCCTTCAGGGGTGCTGGCTCAGACCCGTACATATTCCAAGAGTCCTCTATGAACTTCCTGTTCACCTTGAACCCTGGGGGCAAGCCGGCAGAGAACGCTGAAGCCGTCTGCAGTGCTTTCTGTGGCACCATCGCAGTGTGGATTTCAATCCCTTTACAGTGGGGGGTGTCCTGCCCCCTGCTCTGTCAGACCCCCTTGGCAAACCCCCCAAAGCAGCCCCCCCCGATTCAAACGACGTCTTCGATCTGTCTCACCTGGACTCAAGTAGGTCCGCGTGGCAACAGCCAGGGCACTCTGGCTCAGGTGCTGCAGGAGGCTCTTCATCTGGCTGTGATAGCAGGCCACCTTGTCCACGTGCAGAGAGCGCAGCAGCAAGGCCTCCGTCTCGTTCACAGCCCCTGCGGAGGCAGAGACCAGCCGCGTCAGCACAGCTGCGGAGCTCGGGGACCTGACTGGCTTCCTCGGAGGAAGTCAGTACTGCTGGGCAGTGGAACCTGGGGGACATATGAGCAGCTCGCTCAGGACCTCGTTTCCACGGACAGAGACAGAGCGAGGAACTTGTACAAATCTGCCTCTGGCCCGTGGGTCATTACTCCTGACCTGGCTTGAGACTCCTCCTGATGTCCGGGACTCCTCAGGAACAGCTGAAAGGTGGGATAACGTCATCAAGTGGAAGGGTCACTCCTAAACTCCCATTTGTGGCAATAACATGGCTGGACTTGGACTACAAAACCCTCTGCATCACTGTTGCCGTTTGGGGAACTGGGGGAAATACACAATGTGTGTGTCTCCTTCAGTTTTCTCTGGAAATGGCCATTACTGTTTCAATTTAACTCATCTCAAACCTTCACTGGACTGCCCTGTGAATGTTTGCCCCCCTACACACGCACATTGACACAGCCCTCCAGACTGCACGCCCTCCACTGGGCACCAGCGATGTCAGCACTCTGCTGCGGCTCTCATTGTCAAAGGGAGCGAGTCCCCTATCTTCCTACTCACAACAAAGGGGTTTGGAATAAGCCAGCCAATGGTGCAATCCCTGTATATCACTCCAGTATATCGCCCTCTGATTTGCACTTAGCAGACAACTACAAAATGGTCTCCAGGAAAGTACAACAGGAACCAATCTCAACGAAAGTGCGAATTCTGAAATCACTGCAGGGGAAGGCAGCCAGGAGGAAGAAGAGGGGAACTCCGTGTGAGCCCCAGACATGTCTTCCTCACCCAGGGCCAGCTGGGACAGGGCCAGAGCCACGCTCAGGGGGGACACGACGATGTTGGGCTCCTTCGATCTGGACAGAAGCTGCTGGAGGAGCTCCAGGCCAAACGTGGTCACGGCCGCCCCCAGCGCCTTCTGGGCCTCTCTGCGCGGCACGCCACCCCTGCACTCCTGCTCCGGACTTTCCTCCTCGGACGAGCTCCCCTCGGGAGCGCCGGGGGACATGGCCAGGAAGTAGTCAGGAGTCGGGCCGCTGGTGGTGGTGGTGGGCTGCCAGGTGGTGGGCGTGTAGAAGTACTCTGGGGGATCGTGAGTGGGTGCTGGGCTGTGCGGCAGGGTGGTGGGAGGGAGAGGTACTGTTGTGGTCTTCAGATCCTGAGGGAGAGGAAGAGAGGCAGAGACACACGGACGGGGAGAATCAGAGGATGCAGGAGAGAGCGAGAGGGATAAGCAGAGGGGGGGAGACACCCCGATGGGCGATCCTCACTATGTTGTCACCGATGGTGGATTCCAGAAGGATGTCCTGGAGATCCTGTGGGTCAGTGTCTCCATCCTCCGGGGGAATGGTGTCATCGTCCTGATGCAGAGAGCAGGGATCAATGCACTTATTACTCATAAGCACACATGTGCGTGGGTGTATGTTTGAGCAACTGAGTGAGTGACTGTGAGTGATTGTGTGAGTCTGTATGTTGGTGTGCGAGTGTGAGTGAATGTGTGTGTGTGATTGTGAGTGTTTATGAGTGTGTACGTGTGTGTGTGATTGTGAGTGTGTATGAGTGTGTGTGTGATTGTGTGTATGTGTGTGCAAGTGCGTGTTTGAGTGTATATGTGATTGTGTTTGTGTGTGAGTGTGAGTCTAACTGTGAGTGATTGTGCGAGTGTGAGTGTGTGTATGTGAGTCTGTGCATATGTGTGATTGTGAGTGTGAGTGAGTCTGTGTGTGAGTGAGTCTGTGTGATTGTGAATGTGTGTGAGTCTGTGTGATTGTGAGCGTGTGCGAGTGTGAGTGAGTCTGTGTGATTGTGAGCG